ACATATATATATATATATGTATATGTATTTGTGTGTGTGTGTATCATTAATATTACTATTATTATTATTATAATTATTATTATTATTATTATTATTATTATTATTATCACCTTAATAAAACTCTCCCTTACCTCTATTGTCGGAATCGCACGAGGGGATGGCCTACAAGGGCACGCTGCAGAGGAAATTCATTCGTTGATCGATTCTTCCCTCACGAGCTTCCTCCGATTGACATCGCCTTCTCCTCTGCACACGGGATTGCATGAACCTATTGCCTCTTCCTACTTAGCATGGCAGAGACATCGCCGATGTCACTGTTCTCATCCTACACTCGACACCGATGCTGACTAGGTGAAAACCCCAGCATATGCTAGATGTCTCCCACGCCGTTCGACTCTTTGGTAAGTAAATCTCACCTTGGTCTCGTTTTTTTGATGGGTGAACTCGTCGCCTAGGCTTCTGATCCCCTCGTTTCAATTTCACAACTTCTCGCTTTATCTACCTCCTATTCGGTTTCCCCTCCCTATCCATTCAGTTTCCCGACTCTTCACATCCTCTCCTTCGATCCTTCGTTTCATATCCCGAGTAACTGTAATCGGGCATTAAAATATTCCCCACTTATAAAAATTTTATCCTCGAATTTATAAACAAACCTCGCGTCATTTCTCAGTAAGCATGTCAACATTAACTACCCATAAATTTTCTATTAGACTCCCTTCTTCTATAATTTTTGATGTATCACTATACCTGGGTGGATATAATTATTAATTTGAATTAACTTTAATTTTTAATTTTTATTAAAATTTTCTTATAATTACCCTTTGGCTCTTTCATCAAGATTCAATTAATTAATCTTAAACCTTGGACTCTGATACCATGTTTGCCACGATTCGTCTCCGAGCTTCGAACTAACCAAGGCAAGAACAGACAGCCGAAAGGTGAAAATTAAACTTATTCTATAACTATCATTTTAATAAATAAATGAGTCACTAATCAAATTAAATTAAAGCAGCATATTTAAATTTATCTCGCTACTAGTTGTCTGCTTATTTCATATATATTCTCTTTTATCATTCAACTTTTAATCACTTAAATTAACCCAAAAAATTAATTTAAAAATAACATATGAGCTAAACAAACAAGTAAATACTCATATTTATAACTACAATAATACAACAACAACAACAACAAAGCCTTAATCTCACTACGTGAGGTCGGCTACATGAATCCTTTTTCTCCATTGTGTCCTATTTAGTGTCATATTTTCATTTAGTTCTAGTAAATTAAGATCATTTTTTATACAATAAGCCCAAGTTTTCCTAGGTCTACCTCTGCCTTTCTTAACACAAGTCGAATCTAAAACATCTACTCTCCTAATCG